ATTGTAACGATAATGATGATAATGATGACGATAACGATGACAATGATGATGACGATGATGATGATAATGGTGATGACGATGATGTTGATGATAATAACGATGATAATGATGATAATGATAACGATGACGATGACAATGACAATAATGATGACGATGACGATGACGATAACAATGATGATGGAAATGATGATGATGATGATAATGATAATGATAATAATCATAATGATGATGATGATAATGATGATGATAATGATGATGATGATGATGATGATGATGATGATGATGATGATGATGATGATGATGATGATGATGATGATGATGATGATGATGATGATGATGATGATGATGATGATGATGATGATGATGATGATGATGATGATGATGATGATGATGATGATGATGATGATGATGATGATGATGATGATGATGATGATGATGATGATGATGATGATGATGATGATGATGATAATAATGATAATGATAATGATGATTTTGATGATAATGATGATTACGAGTATGATTATGTTAATGATAATAATAATAATGATGATGTATTAATCATTATACGGATGATTATAATGACAATAATAATGGTAATACTACTTAATAATCAGCTGATCGTGATGTTAATGATAATGCTTATAAAGATTATAATGATAATGATGATTATAAAGAATAGAATCATGTTAATTATGATAATAATAGTGATGATAAAGGTAGTAGCAATGATGTTGATTATAATATCGATAAGGTCGATGATAATTGTGATTATAAGAATAAATCTTATGTATAGAATAAGATAAATCATTATTAATATTGATGATGATAATGTTGATGATGAAAATAGGATGGTAATGACTATGATAATTATGACTATGATTTTAATGATGTTGATGATGATGGTTGGAATGATAATGACGATAATAACGATGATACTTGTGATAATAATAGTGATTATGTTGATACTATTTATGATAATGATAATATTGAAGATAATTATGATGATGTCGATGATGATGATAATGTTGATGAAAATTATGAGGATTATGATGTTTGTGATGATGATGATGGTAATAATGATGAGGATGATAATTATAATGATGTTTTTTCGTTAATGATGATAATGGTGTCAATGATATTGATAGTAATATAAACAGTTTGAATGTTGATGCTGATAGTGATCATATTAATCCTTATGATAATACTGATAATCATATTAGCGATAATGATGCTAATGGTAGTATTAAAGTTATTGATGTTCCTAATGTTAGTGATAATGATGATTTTTATAAACATGACTGGAGTGATAAGACCTATAGTGATTAAAGTGATGGTATTGATAATTATACAGATGATGATAATGATTATCGTAATAACAACGATTCCTAGATAATGGGTATGTGAATGATGATAAGAAAAATAATGTTTAGAATGACCATGACAACTATAATAATAATTAATTTGGTCACAATGACATTGGTAGTAATAAAATGCTTATGCCCCTTATTATGTTGGTGTTGATGGTGTTGATCATGACAATTATTAAAGTGATGAAGTTGTTTGGTTTAGCAGGAGATTTTTGTATGTTTCAGACGTTGTCAATATTCTTAGGCCTATTATTATTTGCATAGTTTTAATCTGATTATGGTTAATTGAGCAAATTTTTTAAATATTCGTAATATAGATAATATTAATTTGATTGTTGGTAGCAATTTATTTAAGCTTTACCACAAAATAGGATATTGATTTATAACGTTAGATTTCGACAAAGATGTAATGCCTTAATTGCTTTATTTTACTAGTTGTATTTTGATTTTGATTTTGAGTTTTTGGAAAAACAAAATTTTTATCAAAAATAAAATTATTGTTTTTTGTGTTCACCTCTATATTTTTTTCGTTTTTTTTATAAGCATATGTTTGCTTGTTTGATGCTTGATTCAAGGTAGTGTATGATTTGTTAAAATTTTTAACTAATGATGTAACTAGTGGCACTAACTTTTTTTAGGCCCTTTGTGTATTCTGTTGTTCTATTAAGCCCTTGTTAATGCTTGAATTTGTTTAAACACTTGCCTTTTTATAAGTACTGGCTTTAGTGTTAAAAAACTTTTATTTGTTTCATTGATTTTGTGATTTGTCGTTAACTGCTTTTTTCTTAAAGATCGCCATAGAACATCATAAAAGTTTGACAGTGTCAAAAGTTTGAGTAAAATTTGATGCAACCTAAGATTCGAGCATTACACTTAGTATTTGCATACGCATGACCAAATAATAATAGCTCTAAGCAATTCTTTCCAAGCAAATAAATACTTTTTAAGATTCGCAGCTGCTGTAAGAATTAACGCTTGCTTTCAACTTCTATTTTTTTCCGATATAGTTGCTTGACGCAATAAATTAATTGTTTGTGCGAGCCAACAACTCAGTTATTTAATAATAGTTTCATTAATGACTTAACCATTGTATTGCAGAAGTAGGTTGTTGGTACTCTGCTTTTGTTTATCAAATGAATAAACACGGATCTTGTGTCTATTCAACTAATTTTTAAATATTTTTGGGTGTGCCTAGTTAACTACAACAAAATGTACTACCGATTTTTTTTTTAAAGACATTATGCTTTAAAAATCAATTAAATTAAATACATGCAATTAAACAAGTCTAGTGGTCAGAAAATATCTGTTGTACTCGTCTTTACGTTGAAAGATGAAACATAATACATGTTGCATCACAACGTGCTTCACATAAGGAAATTAAACAAATTTAGACCCATGAAGCAAAATGCATAGCTAAAACAGCTTCTATAAAGCTTCAAGTTTTTTGATGTGCTATGGTTATTTTTAATTTATCCTTCTTCTAGTCAAAAACAAATTTTAATAGAATTATTTTAGCCCAACTGTTTTTGCAAGATTAACGAGTAAAACCGGCAGCGAAGCAAGTGACATAATGCAAAAAAATAAGTTCATGTCCAGTTGTACCTTGGGTTTTTGGGGATCTCCATAGACGATGCAAGACTTGTACTTTTCTTGTTTTGCTAGTGTCTTCTCTTTCTTCCTCTCTGTGTATGTGTGTGTGTAGCCTTTCGGCCCAGGGGCAAAAAAGTTTCTGGGCCCTCCGGGATTAAAGTAATTGACCGGACGCAAAGTAGGCAAGTGGGCAGTACACTCGGTAAGAAAAACATTATACATGACTCGGGCACCAATATACTACAATTGTGCCCGTTGAGTGCTCATGTTTGTACTTTGTGCCCTAGTGACGTAATGTACAATTATCAACACTACGACAAGATCACTTTGATACCAATAATAATTATAATACATATTAAATCTTCTAACTGACCAAAACGATAACAGGAGGTAAAATAGTAGGAAATATTTATTTGTATACTATTGTACACACACACACACAAACTTTAATTTTTTGGTTAATATTTTTCATACTTTTGTAGTTAAAAGTCAAATTGTTGTTACTATTTGTTATATCGTCAACATTTGAGTCAAATATTCTGAAGAGAAAGGAACTTTAAGCCTTGATCTTAGTATTAATGAAGATATTCTATACTGGCGATTCTATAATCTTACTTTGCGTTCCTAAATTACATCTTAGCAACTATCACTAAGTAGTTTAAGGGTGCAAAAGGCTTACAGAACTTGGCACCTATTGTAAAAAGTTGAAGTTACTGTATGATATTTTTCAGATAAAACAATAGTTTCTCTTAATTTCCTATCATGTTGTATCGAAAAAAATATGACCTCTCTAGTCTCAAACACTATTTGGTTGACTTGAAGTCTTGCAAAGCTTAACTATCAGAATTTTTGTTTTATAAATTATAAAAAAATTTAGCAGTGCAGGGCCATTACAAGTAATTTTCTTTATTTTGTATGGAATAGCTTACTTACGTCATGACTGCCTTAAAATAAAGTTAAATGCTGTTGTAATATCTTACCCACAATCAGAATAGGTTGGACTATTTTTTTTATAATCAACACATAAGATACTCAGAATTCATAAAATTACACTGTTTCTTTTTTTTTTAGTTACATGATATTTGACAAAAAAGAAGACTAAGTTACGAATATAGATTTTTTTTAAAGGCAACACAATGATTTTCTATAAAATGCTTTAAAATAATTAAATTTTTTTTATATTATTGCAAATTCATCTTACGTAACCAATATAACTTTTATGGCTACACAGAGGTTTCGCAAAGCTCTTTTTATGTTATGAAACAAAGTGTAACCTTACTCACAGTTGCATGCTTTTGTCTTCTTATCAAAACGTTAACTTTCTATAGTGAACTACAATGATTGTTAAATACACGTAGACAGAAGTAAAGTTTTTATGGATACATTCAAGGTTCTTTTATAACAATAGTTTTGTATTCAAAGTGCAACTTTAATATAGACGGAATGACCTTTCTTATCATGAGAACATCTGGTACAAACAAAACAAACGTTTTCTTTTTAATTTAGTGGGATCAGTATTTTTATAGATTAAATTATTAACAAGTTTATCTTAATTAGTAAGAAATGTTAGTATAATATTATTTCTTACAATTTTTAAGGTTTTTTGAAAGCTTGACAACTGTATTTAAATAAGAGACCTGTGGAAAAAGAAATGAAAACCTAGTTAGCAAAATACTATTTCGTTTAGCCAAGCACAATAGAGTTTGACATAAAAGTTTAATACAAAATAAAAGTCTTGTTAAAGAAGACAATCGTATCTTATTCTTTTTCACTTTTTGTTACAATTCGTAGATGTTTTTTTTTGTTAGTAGTGCAAGATGTTTTTACTTTTAGTTGCCTGAGCACTTTTTGAATTGTATTCCTTATTATTATCATTATTTTTTTTTAAAGTTTTGATACACATCATTCTATTTCTGAGAGAAACATTAAATATTTAATAGATAAATAAGTCATCTGAGTAACTTTTTTGATTTTTATTTATTTTTATTTAATTTGATTCAAAGAATCACAACTATTACAAAACACAGGAAACAACTGTAACCAATTTATAAGTGGTGACTAAAAAGGTACGTAAATTTAGTCAGTTTGTAAACGGTAAAACTAACTAACATGCAGAATAGTAGCAAGCCCTCTTATGCTTTACATGTGAATACAAAATAATAAAAGACTTTTAATATTGGATGATTGTATATTTTCAATTACATAACGTTTATGTAGTAATCGTAGTGACACAAAAATGGAATATCAATTATTATTTTATTAACTTATGTAGTTATTGTTTAAAATCTTTATCCCACATATAGCTGGGCACGTACCATGACACATAGCTTATAGCTGAATAAAATAAGAGTTTGAGCAAAATAAGAGAAGATCTGTGATATTAATTATTTTTGTGTTATTAAAAAAAACATACATATCAACTTAAAATAATGACTAAAGTTATATCAATACAAACATTTGTAAAGTATTTTGTTTACTTATCCCTTTTTTGATGACTCCTTTTGACTAGACATATAGTGGTACACATAAGTACAAGAGTAGTAGTTATCATTAAAATACTAAGTAAAATTCTATATTTACATACACATTTTCACGCACCCGCAGATACACATTTTCTGGCATATTTACGCATGCGTGCGTGCGCGTGTGTGTGTTTCTCTAAACACGTGTGTGAAAATTTTTATATATGTATTGAATATTTTTAATCGCAAAACGTAAAGATATCATTCTCACGTTACGCCATCGAATCATTGTGAAAATCAGGCTGATCTTCATAAACGTCATTCATTCTCAAACATTACTTTTATTGAAGAAACAATATTTTTCAAAATTAATAGTAGGAAGCATTTGGATTATTATAAACTTTGCTTTATTATTCCGCTGAAATCAATTATTTGTACAAATGTATATAATACTTTTTAAGGTAAGTACTGTAGTAAATAATAGTAAATTGCTTACTAAGTTTATTTATTATGCACCTTAACATGGTGTTTCAGTGTACATGCTATTCCCATTAGACTCCTTAATTTTCAAATTTTTCTTGAAGCCTTGTTATAACTTTTTGGAACAGTAATGTTAAAAAAAAAAATAAAAGAAATAAACATTGAAACAGCTTACATTTTTTTTTTTACTGGACTAGAACAAATTAATTTTACAAACAGTTTAAAAAGACTAGTACGAAGAAGTTTTCATTGACACATAGTCTCTGATTCTTTAATGTTTTTATAGTAGTGATTAAAATAGTAATACTTTTTGGATTACTTTAATCGTTCGTGTATGATTAAATTCCTACAAGAAATGTATACACTGCCAGTAAAATTTAACAGAATTTTAGTTAGCATATTTTCTATCAGTTACACAATGGGTACCATTAAAAATTTTATAGAAACTTCCTTAATTAGGTGCATAACTGGTTAGATTTATCGAATTTAACAGAGAATTTCAGATCTCTTTTTCTGTTATTATTTCCTCCACATTAAACAACACTAACAGATTTTTATTTATTAATTAACACACATCCATAAGTAACTTAATAATCTAGTACATAGTTTGTGCGAGCTCTTTTTGCTCTATATTTAGTTTGATACTTTAGAAATTGTTTCTACCTACACCTTGTCACTAAGCATTTCTCCTACAAATTTTTTTTAATTGTTGGAATAAGAAAAATGTCCATCCCGTGAGACTTTGCTAAGTTTTGATGGAAAAGCTCGCTGGCCATGCAAAAGCCAGCGTGGTCGATGCATGACTGCTGTAGGAGAAGCAGAAGATGTGGCGGCTGCTGTTGCTGCTGCTACAGCTGCTGTAGCAGCTTGTTGAAGCCAAGTATTGTGAGATCGCTGTCCCAAGAGTTGTTGCCTTGCAAACTCTATTGGATGAATCTCATGTTGGTGATGTTTAGGGGAATACAAAAGGGTAGAACGCTTGCCAAGCAGTTGTTGTACACTGGTTGTACTTACAGAATCGATTAATGCAGTTACAATACTGCCATGTGGATTCCTTTGCTGCGATGTTGGCAAGATAACCTGGGACTGAATATATCTGGAAAGATCTTGCTCGTTCTACGCAGCTTTAGTTTTATTTGTTTTGAAGCTCACTTGGAGAACTCGGTTACCAAGAGTGTATCCATTCAAGCTTTGGATTGCAACAACTGCTTCCTCGTAGTTGGTCATCGTAACAAACCCAAAACCTTTGCACTTGTTTGTTTGCAAGTCACGAATAACTTTAACAGACTGAACAGCACCAAACGGACCGAACAGCTGCCAAAGCACATTTTCTTCAGTTTCGGGAGCAAGGTTATAAACAAAGATGCACCATCCAGAGCCGTTCATTGCATTACCCGGTAACATGGAGTTTGCCAATAAATCTCCCGCCAAAGGGCTGTACCTAAAACATTTGTTGTGATATTATGCTTGTGCAGAAAAAAATATTTCCATATAATTATTTATACAGAAGTCAAAAATAGTATAAGACCAAATTTCTTGTTTTCTTATTTCTTAATTAAATATTTTTATAAAAACATTATAATTATTATAAAACTAAGGTTTTGAAGCAATTAAATCGTACCCTTACTTTTATCACGTTTAGAAAAAGACCGCTGTTTCACATTAGTCACCTTGACATTATTAATATAACAATTGTGAGAAGCCTGATTGACAGAACGTTAGATTGCTTATTTCAAAAAGAGACTTCTAGAGGTGAAGAAATTGACTGAAAAAATTAACTGCTTCCTTAAAATCTTTCTCAGGACTGTTTGTGGTACTCCTCTCTGATGACACAACCTTACGCACTGGCAGTGTGTAAGTACGATGCTCAGTCTGCTTCCAGGATCTTAAGTACCTTAGCTGCATGGCAAGTGTGTCAGACACTTACACAAGAAGCTCCCAAATCTTGAAAAAGGTTAATTGCTTTATTTAGTTGGATGTAATTCATTTCTACTGGCAGCAGAAGTGCCCAAATCTTGCAGTAAGTCCATTTCTTGAAACGTATTGCATAAGTCTTACATGAACCTTGCATTCAGTGCTTTTTGCTGAGCTATAAAAAATGAAAAAATCTAATTTATTTGGAGACTACACTTCTGCTGCAAGAGATCTGTTGTTATGATACATCATAAAATTTGCGTAAGACTCGTGTAAGACGTCTTACGCAATGGCCCTACTGCAAGTCTTGTACGCTTCTTCTGCAAGTGGAAATGCATTTAATTCGACTAAATAATGCCCTTGATCTTACTCAAGATTTGTGTACTTCTTGTGCAAGTGTTTGACGTACTTACTGTACAGCAGATTCCGTAACATCTTGGAAGCCGACCACCTCATCGACTTACGCACTTTTTCCTATGACCAAAACTTTACGCAGAAAATTGCATAAGAACTACAGTGACTGTGCTATCCGGGCTAATTCTTTCTTAGTTAGAAGAAACCTTACACATTTTTGATGAAAAGACTTGAACAAACAATCCCTATGATTATGTTAAGCTAGTTGGCTTGTACAACTCCTATTATGTATTATTGTACTTGGCACTTTCTTTAAAATAATTTTGATATGTGCTCTTACCGACAGCAGTTAAATTTCAGTTCTTTCTTTTGATTTCTTGATATTTTTTATCTTTGTACTTTTTGGTATATATTAGGCATGTTGCAGGGTAAATAAGAAATCAATCATGTTTCTATTTCTGTGCTTACTTGTGGAAGTCAGATTTAAAAAACAATTTTTTTATTGAGCATTATGGATTTTAAGTCTTGATCATAAGTTTTCTCATAAAATGAGTACTTTATCCTTACAGCTAGAAACGATTTAGTATACATTTGAATGCATAAGTTTTCTGACTAATCGTTATTTCTTGTGAGAAACTTAATAACGTATTATTCTTTTACAATTTTCCCATTCGTGACTTAGTTAATTTTTTCAGGACATTAATCACAGAGAGCGAGGAAATAGTTCAGAGAAGTGAGTAGAGCACCAATATACGTAACAACGCTGGCAATTACTTTTTTATGTGTAAGTACTTACACACAAACTTTTACGCATACTCAATCCCTTCTATCAAGTGTTAAAAAAAAATCTTGTTTAATTTTTCGAAGATATTTCTTATGATATTTACAATTTATGTTTGATGTTGGAATAATATCTGTCGAAAAAACCTTTGTTTGATAAGCGGCTGAAGGAACATTCACTGACATGTAATGCAATCTTATCAAAGAAAGTGGTATAGCACGATAATTTTTCTTATTCCAATAAATACAATTAAATTTTGGATATTTAATATTAATTAAGAATAAATGTGTAAGCGTATGTGACAAATGTAAACGTGATGTTAAAGATGTAATCAGTGTAGACGGTAGAAAGTTGTTTGACATTATCAAAAGATTCAATGAAACTGCATAGTCTGTTACTGGCCAGTCTATTTTTTTTTACATTATATTGAGCTATAATTACAATCATTTGTTTATTGAATATACAGTCTCATTTTTTGAAATTTTACCAAATTACGATAAATATACTCATTTTTACGATAGCTGAACCCCCTCTGTGCACAGTACTATTTCATAAAAGATATATTTATATTTATAATGTCTGCCATATGATTTTATAGAAGTATAACTTCTTATTTGGATACTGGCATAGCCAGTGTCCACTTGTTTATTTAATTGAATGGCATTGTTTTAAAGCGTCTTTGTACGTTCGTAAATACAGTGCAAGTCTACCTTTATTATTACTGCAATCTCGAACGTTTTATGCTGTGTAAGACTATTTATATGCATAATAACATGTAATTTTAGTGTATATTTAATTGTTACTTAGTCTAAAATCGTTTCTTTAATACATATTTTAAGAAGAAAAATAAATAAGGCAACAAAAACGGATGAAATAATGCTTATAAAAGTGTGTCAAACGTGTTACACAGATGAATGCACTTAAGTTTGTTATAATAACACACTTTTGTTAGCAGCTTATTTTTCAAGTGATGTAGCTCTAGAAAAAAAAATTGTTAGTACTTTGAAGTCGAATTTCATCTTAAAATGTTTTTTAAGATGTTGTGTCGTACTGATTTGGTCGAATAATTTATAAATGATTTAAAAGTATATTTTTACTTTTGATTTTAGTATTAATCTTGAGACAATAAACCTACTATTTATAGCTGCCATACAAGATAGTTGTATTATTATAATTCATTCAGAATAAACGTCAGATTTTTTGAAAACTTGTATTAACTTGCATTCTAATATATTCAAGGTATTAACTAAAAATACTGAAATGACCAGAGGAACACAATGAGCTGAACTTAATCGAGAATTCGATTTATCTGAAAAAGACTCGTAACAATTTTTATATCAAGACGTCGGTGCCTCTCTTCATCTGATAAGTTTAATGTACTAAAGTTACGGGTTGTAGCTCAAATGTTAATCATCTTAATGCATTTTTTATGGTTTTCAGATACATAGAAACAAAAAGTATGTATCTATATACGTATAAAAACATATTTTTCTATCGACAAAAATTCTAAATTAGTTATAAAGTGCAAAGCTAGAATATAAAACAAACAAGAAATAAGTATTGTGTACTCTACTAATTATTTATTTTGGCGTTTTTTAAGAATCCAACGTACTTTTATCAAAATCAAAAAAAAAATTTTTAAGATTGAAGTAACCAGATATTAAATAAATGTTTATTGCATTGTTTTTTAAATCTTGTTAAATGTTAGAACTTAGACTAACTCAAGCTGCCCAGTCTGCCAAGGTTGGGCCAAGAGTGGCCCCTAATAAGGCACACACTTAAGCACAAGCATTTCCCGAAGTGCCATCTCATTTCGTCAGCTCAAAGTGTATTTATAGTTGTACTTGTAGCTAAACTCGTGATTAACCTTAAGCACGTGCGTATACTTGTAAATATCAAGTGATAAGTCTTACTGAAAAGTATACAATTATATTTTAACTGATCCAATGTAAGACACCTTTTTCCCCGAATACAGGGATTATTTCGACTTTGTTGATATAATAATAGGGTGAAATGAAACTTGTATGACTTGATGTAAGTGGTGATGTTTATATAATTGAAAATAATTTGCCAACGTCTGTTGGCCTCATCAGGTCGAATATGGTTGTGGAGTACGGTTACGTAGTAGACTAGATACATGCATTACAAGATACATATAAATAAAAAGATTAAATGTAAAACACCGCATATTAACATCAATCACCAGTAACATTAAGTGTTTCAATTTTAATATGTATCTTGTGATGAATGTATATAGTTTACTACGTGACCATACCTTCAGCCGTATTCTACCTAAGACCAACGGATGTTGGCCAAGCGTTGTCAATTATATAAACATCACTACTATCAACAAGTGATTCAAGTCTTATTTTGCCCTATCAAATCGACAAAGTCTAGACAATTCATCTATACTTCAACTGAGTTTACACTTATTTATTCAACCGTAAGACTAGTTTTTGTTAAAAATTAAAGCCCAGGTGTAAATTAAAAAATATCTTAACTGAAAACTGTTTTTTAAGCGTTCCACCCGGCAACCCTCCTAATATCTAGCACTGTTGAAAAGAATAGCTAAAGCCATTAACACAGCATTTTTTTGATATTTTTAGTAGAATCTTGATTAGCAGCATTATAGACTGAAATCATCAAGTCTAAAAACAATAGTATCAGCGTGTGACTGTTGATAACACAAAAGAAATTGTTAGCTAATAAAAAAAATTATTTTATTACCTTGTATTACTTTGAGATATTTACAATTTTTTTTGAGGAGTTTACTTTCTTTTGGGCAGTAATGTTACTGATTTTTTGTTGTAAACAATTTTCATTTGTTAACAGTTAATTTTTGGCTAAATACCTGTTAGTACTAGTAGTTGTTGTTATATTACTTGCCTAAAACTAAAGAAGATGTAGAAAAATTATTGATTATACTGATTTTAGAAGTAGACAGTATGTTCAGAGAAGTCATCTACCAAAATCATTTTTACGTTAGGCTTGTTACTTAAGATTTCTATTTAATGCCTTAAAAGATAATAAGGTATCAAGAGGCAAACTACACGAATAACTCATTTATTATTTATTGAAAATTACAATGGATTTCACTCAATCTTTACCTAGATTCTTCTTTTTTTGGGATGGATTCAAATTGAATTTTTTCTCTTTTCAGGAGTATTACTCGCGTTACAACATTTTTGTAAATGTAATTTTTTATATCTGATAAACTAAAACATTTGTTATAAGTATCGCTTGACTAACTAGTGGATTATTTTATACATTACAAGCTCAGTTTCCTTCTATTTATCGTTGTAAAGTATCTTTTACATGCCGCAGACTGATCTTGCTGTTATTTCAGCCCACTACTTAAATATCAATAAATTTTATTAAATATATCAAAAAAC